TCTTAATTGTGATAATTTGGAAACTCAATAATTTATTTTTACGTTACTCATCATTTTACTGAAAAATTCTGAATGACTGAAACGCTAGTACATAATGAGTATGTACTGTCATTTTGTCTGGTTGTTACGCTGCAGAGAAATGGTCTTTTAACACGGAGATATATTTTGCTGGATGTAGGTGTCGATCAGGGATATGCTGTTAATTGCTTAAGTGCTAATTGTATGAAGTGAAAGTAACTTTGAATTATAAAACATTTTCAGTACGGTTTAACAGAGAAAATACTTTTCTGCCGCGTTTCGCTGAAGTACGGAGGTGTGTAGAATAAATGATAAAACCGCTAGAACCAGACCGAACCATGAAAAGTTTTAACAGTACAGAAATGCAGGGTGAAACACTGATGCCAAGGAGTTCTAGTTTCTTCAGGTTTCTGAAGTAAACGTAGAGAAATCTGAATGAATAACCCTTTAACCGCTCTGTGCCAGAGTAAATGCGGACTGATTTAAAAAGTGAGGATGAGGTTTAAAGTGCCGTGTACTAAGTAATTGCGAAAGGGTTGCTGCGAATTCCATCGTAGGGTGGCTGAGGTGCAGAAAATGCCGTGCAAAATAGTTCGTTGTTTCGCAGTTTGTCCGAAAAAGTTGAGATACGGGTTATGCGATCGGCGGGTAAGCGACAGACGTATACGGTAGACATCTGACCGCCTTACATCCAATTCGTTTAGTGTTTTTCCTTAAACAACGTCTTTGAGGTTGTTCGAAGTTGTTGTCATAATGCTACAGTTTTCGCGCAAAAATACTTACAAACTAGATGAATTACATTGGACGCGTAGAGCTGACGGGCAGTACACAAACTAAAATACACTAACGTTTCAACTGCAATGTTTATGAGACTTTTGAGCACGAAGTTAAAAGGAATATTTATTTTCCGTTTCCCTGGAAGAACGACTCTAGCGACCAGAGCAACAGCGGCATGAAGTTGCTGCGGTTTTTTGCGAACAACGGACTGTCCATTGTGAATTAACAAGTTCTTCCAGCATCGAAGCGTGCATCAGTATACTAGGTACAGGGAAGCCTGTGCACAGAAGTCGGTGCTCCATTTGATAATCGTATCGTCTGGCTTAGATGCTCAGTAATGGACCTTATTTCTCTCGACGTGGTTCGGACTACAGACATCCGTGAAAGCCTTAGTGTATAGCCGCGGTTCTTCAGAATGAGATATCACCGCTACGGTTTGGACATATGTTGCGAATGCTTCCAGAAAGGAAGCCGAAGCAACTGTTTCTTGCCCAGGCGACCGGCAGAAGGCCCTCGGGACCGCCAAGGTGTGTGTGCGCATGTGTGTGTGTGTGCGCGCGCGCGCGTGTGTGTGTGTGTGTGTGTGTGTGTGTGCGTGTGTGTGTGTGTGTGTGTGTGGAAGAACCTTCTGAGAACGCCACTGCCTACTCCAATCCTGTTTCTCAAATTTTCTATCACCAGTATACACGACTCCGAGGTACTTGAACTTC